TATCGGATCGAAACTTCATGGATTATGGCCCCTGTTTGTACGAAAAATCACGTTTTTAGCTTGTGGACACTAAAGAGGTCACAATTTTTATCCGATTTTGTTGAAACTTGAAATGTAAGTTTATAACCCAAAGATCTCGGTTCCTGTCGATATTCGCACATATTGGACCATAACTTCCTGAATTATGGCCCCTGATTGTACGAAAAATCACGTTTTTAGCTTGTGGACCCTATAGAAGTAATAATTTTTATCCGATTTAAAAAACCGTATTATTATATCACCGTTACACCCTAAGGACGGATGAGTTTGAATTTCGTGAAAATCGGCCCAAAATTGACAGACAAAATGGCTGCCGTTCGTTCTCAAATAACGTAAAAATATGATATATCAAGGTTGTGGACCCTATAGAGGTCACAATTTTTATCCGATTTTGTTGAAACTTAAAATGTAAGTTTATAACCCAAAGGTCTCGGTTCCTTTCGATATTCGCGCATATCGGACAGTAACTTCCTGAATTATGGCCCCTGATTGTACGAAAAATCACATTTTTAGCTTGTGGACCCTATAGAGGTCATAATTTTTATCCGATTTAAAAAACCGTATTATTATATTACCGTTCCACCCTAAGGACAGTTGAGTTCGAATTTTGTGAAAATCGCCACAAAATTGACAGACAAAATGGCCGCCGTTCGTTCTCAATTAGCGTAAAAATATGGTATTTCAAGGTTGTGGACCCTATAGAGGTCACAATTTTTATCCGATTTTGTTGAAACTTGAAATGTAAGTTTATAATCCAAAGATCTCGGTACCTTTCGATATTCGTGCATATCGGACCGTAACTTACTGAATTATGGCCCCTGATTTTACGAAAAATCGCTTTCTTTTTAGCTTGTTCTCTATCCATATCTCGAAAATGTGGGCGTATCCTGCCTGGCAGCCGCTGGTTTTATATACGACCACATTAAAATATGGTCGTATGTTGTCATCGTCCCGGTCCGGCGTCCACCCTCTATATGACTAAAGATGGTGCCACCCATTAAATAGTCTAATAAATGATAAGTATTGATGTAATGGATTAGGTCAATTTCATCAAGAACCTCGGAGCTACATACAAAAATCAAATTCTAAAGCCCCCAAACAGGTTTCTTGTTGTCTATTTCGTAGGGTAACCCGTGCACTCTACAGAAAGTTGGTCTCGACACGGCTAAATGTGCACGCTTCAGTTGCGTGTCGATAAATAGCCATGGCACGTGCAATTCTCTATAATATATATCAACTATTACAGCCGTAAAAAATCTATTGTTGACGATTTTGAATAGCAGTAAAATTTAGCTTCTTGGTTCTTACAGCAGCTTTAGAAATTACGTTTGTTTTATTTTTTAAATTGCTTTATCATTAACTGTACCGTTAAGAGCGGCATCTTTTGCTTTAGTAAAAATACTATCTCTGAAACACTTTCGTTAGCAGGAACATGATACTAGTAGTAGTTTCCTTTTACTTTTACAAGTTTCTTAAAACAATTGTTGTTGTCTAAAGTGCTTATTTCTAAATTCAATTTCTTGTTCTAGCTTTCTGTTAGGTGAACACTCTTTCGTAGTAACGACAGAGTGACAGGCATCTACACACCAGAGCAGAATGATTGATAGCTGTCAGCATTCACCTGGGAAATATCAAGGGAAATAATTTGAACAACTGGAGGCAGACCACATTATCTACTACATAAATTTTAAAACCCGTTTACCTGCTATTCCAGGCAATGAGTTTAAAGTAGAACAATAAACTAATATAGCCTTATTTATATCGCTAACTTTGACAATCTGTTTTTCACCCATAACGGCATTAACCCCCCACCACACACACACAAAGTGACAAAAGAAAGAAATAAACATTCAATGTTTTAATTTTTCTATATACCCCCCCCCCCCCCACACTATGTTTTTATATAGTAGATTGGCTCCCACAGCAGGATTTTTTTATTCAGATTGGCCCCAACACACGATTTTTTATTTAGATTCGTGTCCCAACAACAGGATTTCTTTAGGTTATCCCTCACCACAGGGATTCTTCTGTAGAATAGCGCACACAGCACGATTTTTTTTTAAAGATTGCATGGTCCCGTCTATTTAAATTGTTATAATACTATTAGTATTTCTATGGTCCCAAGATTTTATATAGATTGCCCCTCACAGCAGACTTTTCTTTAGATTATCCATCACATCGGACCCCGAGTTCACAAAGCATTCTCAGACTTAAGTTAAGAATTTACTCAACTTACAATTACTGTTTATGATAAATTCTTTGATCCAGAAACACAAAACTTGGCATAGTTTCTTATTCATGTATTTGATACATTAAAACAGCAAAGGTTTTATAAAGGGCTATATTTTAGTTAAAATAAGGCGAACAATTTGGAGTAAATTCTGAACTTAAGTCTGAGAAAGCTTTTTTTTCAGTTTGGCTTTCACAGCAAGATCTTTCTTAAGATTGGTGCCCACAGCATGATTCTCTATAGATTGCCCCACCCCACACCTCAAAGCAGTACTGATTTATATTGGTTCAGATTGACCCTCAGATGTTCAATAGATAATCTCTTAGGTTGGTCCCAACAGTAAGATTTTCTATAGATTACTATTACAGCATATTTATTACCATTACAGCATATATTATTAGAGCATATACATAGTGCACCCTTTCATATACCGTGTTCAGGGGCACTTTACAAATTGACAACGTAACCAAAAAGAAAAAAAAACCACACACACACAACAGAACAAACCAACATGTACTGTGTCCGTTAAGTTAAAGCATGTTTAAATAAACGTGTTAAGTTGATTATTAAAAGAATACAGAGATGTACACGATAGTTTATCTTATGTTATGTGAGCTATGAATGTTCGGCGCATCAGAATTTTTCGTCAAAATAGCCATCACAGCAGAATTTGTTTTCAGATTGGTTCCCACAACATTATATTCTATAGATTGGTACCAACAGCAGGGTTTTTATTTAGATTATATCAGGAGTTCCGTTAGATTATCCACCACAGCAGAATATTCCGTCAGAATAGCCATCACAGCAGAATTTTTATTCAGAATATCCATTACAGCAGAATTTGTTTTCAGCTTGGTCCTCAACATAGAACTGTACCATCTATGGTCCTCACAGTAGTATTTTCTATAGATTGGTTTAAACATTAGGTTTTTCTTTAGATTATCCATCATATTAGAAATTTCGTTAGATAATCCATCACAGCAGAATAACCACCACAGCAGAATTTTCTATAGATTGGTTGCAAAAGCAGGAATTGTGGTTAGATTTAAACAGCAGCATTTTTATTTAGAATATCCATCACAGCAGAACTTTTGGTCAGAATAGCTATCACAGCAGAATTCTCTATAGAATTTTTCGTTAGAATGTAGAATTCATTTTCAGATTGGTCCTCACCACAGCAGAATTTTCTATAGATTGGTCCTAACACAGCAGGGTTTTTCTAGATTATTCACCAGAGCAGAAATTTTCGTTAGACTATCGTTTAAAGCAGAATTTTTCGTCCGTATAGCCATGACATTACAGCAGATTTGGTTCTGTTTGGACCAACAGCAGATTGGCTCCCAGAGCAAGATTTTCTATAGAATACTGCTAATTGGAGTTTATATAGATTGCCTTGCCGAAATCTATATAATTTTTTAAATTAGATTAGCCCCAGAGCAGGATTTGTTTTTACTCGGATTGTGTTCCCGTTAACAGGATTTTCGGTAGATTAACCCCCCACCCCCACCAAAGACGATCCGTACCGGTAGGTAACAGATCACAGACACAACATGAAGTTGGGTTCAACTACGTTGTTTTCAAAAGACAGAAAGTAGAATTATTTCTAGAATTTAACAGAATTTCGAATTCAATTTTTAACACAGATCTCTTAAAATAGTGTTATTGTAAATGTCTAATCAAGAAGAAGTTAATGTTTGTTTATACCAATTTGTGATAATTTCGAAAATTTTGTATATTCCCTATATTTTGGTAGATTTGCTTTGTATTAAGAGTATGGTGACATGATTTAGCAGCTTGGTTAGGAATATATCAATCATCCCTTTTTTTATTATTGCATTTATTACTCAACGTTGTTAATTAATGATATTTAAATCACACATCTATGCTTTACTATTGTTTACATGCTAATTACGTTTTATATAGACTTTGTGTACGTTTGTTCATTGTCTTTACAGCCAGGTCGGTGGAGAAAGATCCAAGATTTTTCAGCATGGTTTCCCCCTTGTGAGTATGTAGAACAGAGGGCATTTAAAATACGGCATCTAGTTGTTCAGATTGCACAGATCCTGTATTCAATTTGACAAGCATATTAAAGAATCCTTGACAGTAGGAATCCAACACAAGAGTAGCCAGGTAGCCTGGGCAAAATTTCTTATCACACCACATGGTATGTAGCCCTGTCTTCATTAGGCCAGGCGAAACTAAAGTAGGACGTCTAACCCCAATAATTCATGTCCAGGTCGTACCTGGTCTTTTTAGACGGAGAGCAACTCCTGTATCATGACTTATAATGGTGATAAAATTGTTATCTTTAAACTAATAGTGTTACAGATAAAATTCGCCTTAACAGTAGTTGTAGAGGTGCCACAGTGGTTCAGTGTCCAACCCGGTTTTGACAGACACAGGGCATCATGAATTTCTGGAGTGCCACAAGCCAAAAAATGTGTTTTTCCGGACAACCAAAATATGTGATTTTTCGGACAATCAGGGGCCATAATCCATAAAGTTTCCATTACATGCCAATATCTAAAGGAACCGAGATCTTTTGGCGATCAACCTATCTTTCAAATTTCGCCAAAATAGGATACGATTTGTAACCTGTAGAGTGTCCACAAACAGATTGTATAAGGACGGGCAGGGTATTTTGCATTCTGAACTCTTTAACATTGAATACCACAAAGTTGTTGGTGATTTTCAATCATCTAAATTCATTTTTTACATAAAATTCCAATTAAAAATTTGTAAAAGTTAAACCAAGTTGTAATGCTGTAAGCATTACTTTTTTGAAATCTTCATATTCTTCAATAACTGGAATTGCCAAATTATGTGAACATGTATTGGCATATGGTGACGTGTCAGCACCATTTATAGGGTGTTTGAAAGGCTAAGACATGGATCAAATCACAGGGTGGTATTTTTGAAAAACCAGTCACAAAAATAAGGATGCTTTCCAATCCTTCAGGATCCTCTGTAAAAGAAATAAAATCATAGAGCAATTTATTTTAATTCAAAAGAATCTTCCACATATATTTCTTCATAAACTACTATGACGAGACCGAACAATCAAAATAGTTTCCAATAATGTGAATGTGGGATAATGTTAATAGGTATGTACACTTATTCAGGCAAAAAAAACAGTACCTATGAGTAGGCCTACATATAAACACGTACTGATTTGCTGTTTGATTACTGACTGACATTAATGAAAATTTATGATTGCTTTCTTCTTTATGCCCTAATAAATTTTTTTTCACTAAACGTAAACAGTGACAGATCACCAAAATGTTTAAAACAATTCCATTGAGTAGTCTGTCATATGTCAAGTGCACAATCTTTAAAATTCTAAATGTGTGTGGAATGATAAATATGTAGGATTAACGATCCAAATTGTAGAAATGGTAAGCACTAATGAACAATTCAACTAAACAGAGTATTAATAAATTACATCAAGAACTGTCTCCTATGCCAAAACACAAGTAATTGAGGAGGTAATTATTGGCGATCAAATAATTCTTAAAGGGTTCTGTTTTATGGACAGAAGAAAAATCAAAGCTAACTGTAAGTTCAACCATAGAATGTTTGAAACATGTAGTTAACAAGCGGTTGCCAAGCAAGATGCCCCCACATTTTTCAAGAGATGGACAGAGAACAAGCTCAAAAATGGGAGTGATTTTGTGGACAATCAAGAGCCATAATCCAGAAAGTTGCAGTCCAATATGCCCGAATAAACATACTTTAACACTATTTGCATCTAAGGAGCGGCCATTTTGTCCAGCAGTTTTAGTCTGAAATTTGAACTCAACCATCATTAGGGTGTAACAGTGATGTATTTAAACGTTTTTTTAAATCGGAAAAAATTGTGACCTCTAGGGATACCTCAAACTAAAAATACGATTTTTCGTACAATCGGGCCATAATTCAGGATGTCAATATGCGATATCCGTGAAATTGCAAGAAACCAAGATCGGATGAAAATTGTGACATCTAGAGTGTCCACAAGCTAAAAACGTGATTTTTTCGTACAATCAGAGGCCATAATCCATAAAGTTATGGTCCGATACTTGGCAATATTGACAGGAAGATCTTTGAGGGATAGACCTATATTTCAAGTTTCGTCAAAATTGGATATCAATTGTGACCTTTAAAGTGTCCACAAACAGGGGCAACGACAATATATGTCCACATGAAAATGTGGGCGTTTAAAAACTATAACAACCTGCAACGTAAATTCACCCCCCAAATCCTGTAACAAATCTCGCCAATTTGTCTGTGTCCTCAGTTCTTTTCTGTAATCGTTGCTCCCCTCGTCACTGAAGACCGGCAAAAACAGAGCATCAACATCATCCGGTTCAAGTTTGTTTTTTTTTTATATCAACAAAAACTTGTCTAAGTACTTCTGTTTTTTTTAATTTCATCCAAGACACCCAGACAATTCAATCCTTTGGTAAATCTGAAATCATAAAAAGATTAAGATACAATGTACCAATCAGTAGCATACATTAGTAATTGAATTGACACTTATTGTCCCCCGCCTTTCGAAGAAAGCAGGGGACTATTAAAATGGGTTCGTCCGTCTGTCTGTCTGTCTGTCCGTCCGTCACACTTTTTGGGACACAATAACTCTCTTCCTAATTGAGCTAGAATGTTCAAACTTGGTGTATGTGTTTATTAGGTCAATGCCTTGATGGAGTTCGAAGATGAGCATTTTCCGCTTAGGGTAAGCAGAGATAAGCAATTTGATTGGTTGATGCTTTGGGACACGATAACTCTCTTCCTAATTGGGCTAGAATGTTCAAACTTGGTGTATGTGTTGATTAGGTCAATGCCTTGATGGAGTTCGAAGATGAGCATTTTCCGCTTAGGGTAAGCAGAGATAAGCAATTTGATTGGTTGATGCTTTGGGACACGATAACTTTTAATGGAGCTAGAATGTTCAAACTTGGTGTATGTGTTTATTAGGTCAATGCCTTGATGGAGTTCGAAGATGAGCATTTTCCGCTTAGGGTAAGCAGAGATAAGCAATTTGATTGGTTGATACTTTGGGGCACGATAACTCTCTTTCTAATTGAGCTAGAATGTTCAAACTTGGTGTATGTGTTGATTAGGTCAATGCCTTGATGGAGTTCGAAGATGAGCATTTTCCGCTTAGGGTAAGCAGAGATAAGCAATTTGATTGGTTGATGCTTTGGGACACGATAACTTTAGTTCTAATTAAGTGAGATTGATGAAACTTGGTGTATAGTTTCATTACAGTAATACCTTGACTAAGTTTGATAATGAGCATTTTCTGCTCAGGGTAAGCAGAGCGATACGCAATTTGATTGGTCGAGACTTTGGAAAACAATAACTCTCCTACTTTGATTGTTAGACTATAAGTAAAGATATACTGTTTGATTGTTCAATACTTTGTAAAAGATAATTTGTGATAAATTTATATGTGTCCTCTAATTATTTTCCTATTTCGGCGGGGGACATCAGCCTCACTGTTGGCTTGTATGTTGCTAAATATAAGTAAGAGTTCAAGCGGACAATAACATACACATTTAGAAAAATTACAAGATGATAAAAGATTAATTTGCAAATTAAAAGTTTTCATATTTTCATAAAAAAAAACAAAATCCTGTTGTCAAATGTATTCATAAGACGGGTGATGCCATATAAGTATTTGCCTAAGAAATAATATTTTCTCAGTGCCTCAGAAAAAAGACTCAAAACACCGTTCCCATGCAAGATACGCCCACATTTTGCAAGAGATGACTAGAGAACAAGCCAAAAAATGATTTTTTTGTACAATCGGTGACCATTATCAAGTATGTTACGTTCAGACATGCGACAATATCAAAAGAAACCAAGATATTTAGGATATAAACATATATTTTAAGTTTCATAATAATCAGATAAAAATTGTGGCCAAATCGAAAACAACTGAGATGTTTCGGATATAAGCATAACATTTCAAGTTTCATAAAAATCTGGTAAAAATTATGGCATCTGGGGTGTCCACAACCTTGGAATTACATACTATTGTGTATAACTATAAATGAAATGAAATGTTGTTTAATGGCACGTCAGCTCCAACCGGGCTATATTGCGCCAAACATATGGTGAATTTAACGAGACAAATTAAAACAATATCACAGGAATGTATTCATATATGTAAATAAAAACAAATATCACAGAAAATATACTTAAAAATAAATATATCAATTCCTTTACATATATAAATATTTAAAAACAATATATGATAAATATATACAATTAAAATTTTGAATAAAAGTTTGTCTCTTTTAAAAATGCTAGCAATTCATCATAAAGCTCCGGTTGAGCAAATAGCTGACGTACTGACTGGCAACGGTAATATTTAGATCTAATATGTTTGAGATGATTGCACTCAATCAAGATGTGTTTCACTGTCAAAGGAACATGACAGTGAACACATTGTGGTTGAGGCTCTCGCTTTAAGATGAAAATGTGTGTTAAAAAAGTATGACCAATGCGAGAGCGACACAAAACCACTTCATCTCTCCTGCTGGTTCTATAGGAGCTTGGCCAGTCTCCTAAGAGAGGCTTAATGTGATGAAGTTTGTTTGTGTCTGCAAGATCCCAAGACCGTTGCCAGCGGTCATATACAAATAATTTAATGGACGATTTAAAATCGGTGAAAGGTAAAAGAAATTGTGATATGGGAAGATCTAAAGCAGACTTGGCAGCTAAGTCTGCTTGATCATTCCCTTTAATATCAACATGACTGGGGAGCCAGCAAAGGACAGTGTCCTTGCCGTTAAACTCGTGTGATAGTAGCAGACGATAAATGTCTGCTACTAAAGGGTGTACAAGCTGCTTATTGTTTATTGCCTGTAAAGAGGACAAAGAATCAGTAAATATAATGTGTTTTAAGGATGAAGAGAATTTGATATACTCCAAAGCCTGAAAGATGGCCTGGAGTTCAGCAGTAAATATGGAAGCAGCAGGAGGAAGACGAACAGAAATGGTCTCAGATGGCGTGACAGTAGCCGATGCTACCCGATCGCCATCTTTGGAACCATCTGTATAAATTGGAGCATAATCACCATATTTAGACCTTTTCTCGTGTATAACTATAAACTACAATTCTGTATGGATCATCTTGGAACTTTGCATGTTTATTCCTTATATCGTAAGGACAACAATTTATTTTAACAGACTACTTACTGGTGTAAAACTTCTCTTATTCTGTTTAGGACGATATGTTGACACAGAACTTCCACAAGTTCTTCTTTTCTGTCGAATATATATATATATTTATATATATATATACACACACACATAAAGTGTTGTGATAAGTTGTTTTTAATTGATAATTTCTGTGATATTTGTTTTTATTTATGTATATATAGATTACTATTGTGATTATTATTTAGTTTGTCTCATATAACTCATCATATGTTTGGCGCAATATAGCCCGGTTGGTGCTGACGTGCCATAAAACCACATTTCATTCATTCATTCTGTCAGACCCCCCCCACCCTCCCCCAATACACAACCAAAAGCACAGTAAATTTTGCTCTTCAAAGTGAAGTTCAATTTTAAAGGGTAAGTGGCTTATTCTGGTCATTAATTCTTATTTATTCTTCCTTTCACCAGCTTGATAATTCTCAAAAATGTATTTTTGACATTTCCCACAAAGATATGCATGCTTCTATAATTACAACCGATAAAAAATGGTTTAATTAATTCACTAGTTCGGACTCAATTGTGAACACCGGATACAGGTGTGGCAATATGCAACCACATTCTGATGTGGGCAATAAAAATAGTATAGGAGCAGAACAGTAGGACGTGGACTGCTTTCAGATGAATGTGACAACAATATACATCAACACTAATTGTTGGGACCACAATCACATTCTCAGGTGGCAGAATGGCAGTAGATGTTAAATAAAGCTGTTCACAATTATCAGGCAAATTTTGTTTTCTTTTCACTGGGAACAAGAGGTTGCCATGCAAGATACACACACACACATTTTTTAAGAGATGGATCGAGAGCGAGCTAAAAGGATAGATGTCCAGGCAACAATCCACAGCAGCTAAATCGTCTGATCGGTCAACAAGGGTTGTCACATATTTAATCTTTTGTAGGTAATGTGGGGCATTTCTTACAAGACAATTTCATATAGATCAGATTATAATTTTCAACATTGGTTGGTTCACATAGTGCCTTAACTCAAGAAGTAATTTACCAAAATTGTGGAACTTTGACTGGCTTATTCATTTTACTGATTAAACCATTGCCATAGCTCTAGTAGTAATTAACAGAAATTGCTGAAATTTAAAGATTTCTTTTTTCACCAATTTAAATAATGCTGAAATTCAATAAGCTTCATTGTTTCACTAATAATATAAATAATGCACATAAATTTCACACAGATGTCATGATAATTATAACTTGAACAAAGGGAAGTCTAGACTTATACACAGGAATTGCTGAAATTCAATTGAAAATAACTTTCATACAGATCAGATGACAACATTACAGCGTTCACAAGGTGTAAGAAAGTGAAACAAGGGCAATAACTCTAGACGTACTTAACATTAAATCGCTGAAATTCAACAGGTTTCTTCGTTTTACTAATGATGCATATAAATTTCCTGTAAATTGGATGATAACTTTTGTCATTAGAGGGTTCATAATATGCAACAAAGCGTAACATGGCCAATACCTCCAGAAGAATTTAAATCTAAATTTGATAATCACGGGCCATAATCCAGTGACAGTCCCATACATTTCATTATTGAAAGGTACCAAGATCTTTAAGAGATCAACTTACATCTCATGTTTCGTCAAAATCAGATAATAATATTGTGTACTGTAGAATTTCCACAAAAAAACTGTAGACAGGGCGGACAGGGGCGATGACAATCCATGTCCGCATGAAAATGTGCGTGTATAAGAGCGATCAGTGGTTGGGAATCTGAAGATGATAAATAATAATTTAACTATACAATCACCGTCAGAATTTGCGTTCTCAAATCATTATCAACAATGTCGTTTACTGATGGTTTCTCCTGTAACCCATATGCGACAAGATTAAACATCATATTTGAAAAGAAAGCAGGTGACGGTGCCTCGTGAACAAAAAAGTAAGTAATCATTCTACCATAGATTTCGTAGTACCCCTTTTGTTCACCTAGAAAAAAAATATAAGAGTTGCAGTAAAAACCAAAACATTTAATAAATAGAATCCAGAGACCTTAAGAGGGGGTGGGATGGGAGGGTGCGGGGGCAAGCCTAGAGGGGCCTTGCGGTATGCTAAGTAATGTATTAAAATTGCTGGTATATAAATTGATATTTTTAAATGCACTGTTACTTGATAGTAAAGCAGAAGAAAACTTGTGACGCTTCTGAATTTGACACGTATTGTTAATTCTGATGAGTTCACTTCCAAGTTTAACAAGTTTTCACATGTGATGAACAGCTTGATATTTTGTCTTCGAATGGCTACGTTTTTTTTTTTGTTATTCCATTTGTTTGCATATTTAAAATTGCCTGTGAAAATCATGTACATCTGATTAGTATTACCATAGTAAAACTAAAATGTTGTAGATGTAATTGGTATGTCATATGTTAAATCTCAGTTCGTCTGTTTTAGTATAGAGATCGAGTGCCCCCACTCCTCCTAGCCGAGTTATTTGCTCCAAATTGCTGGCCCTGAAAGGGGCTGGTATGTAAGACATTCATCCAGACACAAAGATAAGAATAATATAAATTTCAATGTGATCATTTAAACACTAACAGTTAATATCAGGGCACAAAATTTTTTCATTCATTTCGCCTTGAAAAATAGGTGAGTCCCTAATTTGACACATTGCGAGGCGGTAGAACTCACAACTAGGTCCACCGTTATCAATGCCTTGTCCTCCCGAAAAACGCACACTTAATCCTCTTTCGGGATGGAATGTTTTGTTTGCAAATGCCCTCCTTCCAGCTCTCAGCACATCCTCTCGATCCACGTTAATGATGTTTTTTTTCCATTACCGGTATTTCTTTGAGCATACATTCTCGATAATATATCTTCTAGACTCTCTTTCCTAGAAATAACAAGGCAACAATGAGGCTGATGTCCCCCTTTCAAAATCCCAAAATAAATACACTATATATGGTGTATTCCGGTCTTCATTATAGCCCTGTCAGAGCAGAAAAGTAAAGTTAAACCCTGTGGCTGCCCTAGAGTCACTCGTCTCTACTGGGAGTTTCAAAACACAATTGAATCAATCAGTTATCAATAGTTTATTCACCTTGGTAATTTGAGTAGGAGTAGGAGATAACAATCGTTGACAACTTTGTGGGATAAACAAACAAAAAATATACATGAAGATTCCAGGCTAGATCACCCTGAGCACATGGCTGCCTCAACAGACTCTAGAGTGATCTCCTCTTAGTTCTCAATTTTACTGAACTATGGGAGGTAACTCCATTTAAGAACCCATTCCCAGGGATCAGACCAATTTATAACTTCACTGCAAATTGCCGCAGTGACATGGCTCCCCTAACTGCTACAGATAGCAGTTACAATAATTGATTGCTAATTCTCACTTTACAAGTTCTATACGAGTACCTGAATGGACATGAATATCTGAATGGACAAAATAAACTAATATGTAAGGAAGAACTTAATACAATGTTTTAACCCCTGAATCACACAAACATTTAAAATGTTATATTACATAAATCTCTGGGTACACTTGCACACGAGGAATGTCGTGTCAGTCCCGAACGAACACAAATACTAACATTTCAAATTATAATAAAGTACTGAGTTTATCACAATCATCACAATGGTATTAGTCAAACAAAGTTTTAACAGCGAAATGTATCTATCCCATAAAGGCTTCGCGGCACTACCAGTATATTGTCATAGTATTTATTACATCACAGTCACTCACAATGAACAACATGGGTCTGATATACTCGCAGCGCAGTAAGTCGTAAATTTAAACATCATTAGGAACTGAATCTGGCTCCTTGACGGGGATCACATCCTGGTCGCCTGGTTCTCCATTACTGTTTTCAGAAGTTTCTGCTGCCAACAACAACACCAATTTGTGTATAGGTCTATCTAGATAAGTCAGTTGAGATCTGCGTTTACCATCAGTTGTTAACTCTCTATCAGCCATCAGAATTTTGACCTTTCTGATTTTACCATCATGACTTTTGTAGACTTCCGTGACTCTTGCCAATGGCCACTTATTGCGTTGGTCATCTGCTTCTTTAGAAATAACTATGTCACCAACTTGTAGATTTCGTTTGAAGCTTGACCATTTGCAGCGATACTGTAAGTTCTGCAAATACTCTTTACGCCATCGTAACCAAAATTCATTGGCAAGAAACTGAACTCTTCGCCACCATTTCTGTGAATAGATATCATCTCTCTGGAACTGTCCAGGTGGTGGTAGTACAACTTTTGGTTTCATGGTGAGGAGATGATTAGGAGTTAACGGCTCTGGCCCCTCAGGATCAGATAAGTTGATGACTGATAATGGTCTGGAGTTGATGATGCATTCTACTTCTGTCATAAAGGTTCGAAAGGACTTGTCATCCAGTTGTTGACCGGAACTCATCAGTAAAGTTTCCAAGGCGTTTCGAACTGTTAAGATCTGCCTCTCCCATGCTCCACCCATGTGACTGGAGTGAGGACAATTCATGTTAAATTTAATCCATTCACAATCATTCTGGAGCAAATATTTATGTACTTGATCTTGATCCATCTCGCTGAGGGCTGTTTTCAGTTCGTTTCTAGCTCCGATGAAATTAGTGCCTTGGTCGCTTCTTAGGACGCGAACTGGGCCTCTTCGATTCAGGAATCTGGATAACGCGTTAATAAAGGAGCTACTTGAGAGTGATACAGCTGTTTCTAAATGTACTGCTCTAGATGCCATACAAGTGAACAATACTCCATAGCGTTTAACTTGACTCCTTCGTTCATTAATCAGGAACGGACCAAAATAATCCACAGCACAATAAGAGAATGGAGGTGCTGGTTCGACCCTGTCTTCTGGAAGGTCTGACATTTTCTGTGTCTGTAAGGAACCTCGTAGACGTCGACAAGTTACACATTGGGAAATCAATCTGGCTACAGCTGATGAACCATTAATTATCCAATAACCATTTTGCCGAAGCTCGTTGTGGGTGATACCTCTTCCTATGTGGTTGACTTTCTGATGGTAGTGTGTGATGAGTAGTTTCGTAAGATGTGATTTGCTAGGAATGATGGCTGGATGCTTTAACTCTGGTGGAATGTTGGCTCTCTGGATACGACCACCAACTCTAAGGAAAGGATCAAGTCGAAATAAGGAACTGTACTTCTTAATCTTCTTATTTCTGTCCCTAGTTGCTGTTCTATCTTCTACTACTCCGGATCGACTCTGTAGAATTTCTAATTCTTTCTCAAAATGCTCTTTTTGCAGAATCTTTAAAATTTCCTTTTCGGCTTCTTCAAACTCAGAAACTCCAATTTTTCCTGAACCAGTCATTTCGTTGCTTGATTTCTTCTGGAGTCTTTTCTTTAGTTGTAAACATGATGCAACTGCTCGCTTGCACTTATACCAGCTGGATATGTGGATAAATCTGTCAGATTCCAATACGTTGAATGATGATACGTTTGTAGAAAGGACTGTAGCTTTCTTGACTTCATCATCCGCTTCATCTAGACTGTAGGCTATTTCTTGGTTAACATCAATCACTTGATTCTGCCACAAGAACGGTGGTCCAGCTAACCAGGTTGAATCTTCTACCAGTTGTTTTGCGGTGAGTCCTCTTGATGCTAAGTCTGCTACATTAGATTCACTTTTGACGAAGAACCATTTATCTGGATCCGTCTGATTTCGTATCTGCTGAACTCTGTTAGCTACGAAGGTGTGAAAACGTTTGGCTTCATTCTTCAAATAACCTAGTACGATCCTGCTGTCTGTCCAGAAGAATTCTGTAACATTTTCATACGTTAGCTCGTTACGTAGGAAGGTGCTCATTTTAGCGGATATGGTAGCTGCGACTAATTCTAGTCTAGGAACTGTTACTACCTTCAATGGAGTTACTCTAGCTTTTCCAATGACGAAACTGCAGTGAACTTCTCCAAGACTGTTGACGATTCTGAGATATGAACTTTGGCCTATTCCACATTCTGAAGCATCGGAAAAGTGGTGTAATTCCACGGCCTTAATATCTCCGAAGTCTTTAGGTTTGTAGCATCTTGGAATTTCTAGTTTCTCTAGTTCCATGATATCCTGTCTCCATTTTTCCCAAACTGGGTGTAAATATTCTGGAACAACACTGTCCCAGTCTAGTTTATCTCTGCACATTTGCTGCAAGATCTGTTTTCCTTTCAGAGTAACAGGAGCAACATAACCATTTGGATCATATATTGAGCTGATTGTAGCTAGTATTCCACGACGAGAAAAGGGTCTGTCTCGAAATTCTATCCGGAACTGAAATACATCTTTCTCAACGCACCACACTATTCCTAGAGCTCTTTCTAATGGTAGGGGATCTTTCTGTAGATCTAACTCTTTTATTTTCTTGGATCTATCTTCATTGGGTATAGCTTCCAAAACTTCCTTTCTGTTCGAAATTATCTTGTTTAACCTCAAACCAGCTTTAGCACAAATCTTCTGACTTGATTTAATTAACTCAATGGCTTCTGAAACTGTTGATACTGACTTCAACCCGTCATCAACGTAGAAGTCCTTTTTGATAAACTCTGCAGCCTTTTCTCCATATTCTGCTACACCATCATCTGCGGCTTTCTTTAACCCGAAGTTGGCGCATCCAGAAGAACTTGTGGCTCCAAATAAATGAAATTTCATTCTGTAATGGACTAAATCTCTTTCTGGATCTCCATCCTCCCACCAGATGAATCTTAGTAGGTCCCTGTGCTCCTTGGACACGAAAAACTGATGAAACATACCTTTGATATCTGTCATGAATGCAATATCGTCTTCTCTAAATCTACATAGTATTCCGAGTAGACCATTCATCAGATCAGGACCTTGCAGGAGTATGTCGTTTAGTGATATTCCCTCATACTGGGCTGAACAATCAAATACGACTCTAATCTGGTCAATCTTCCTGTTATGGTAGACGCCTGTATGAGCTATGTAGTTGACTCTGCCATCATGAAGTTGTAATCTGTCCCTGGGTACTCTTTCTGCACAGTTGTCGATTAGATCTTTCATGAAAGCTTGGTAATCAGCCAGGAATTTAGGATTCTTCCTAAATCTTCCGGTTAACTGATTCCATCTCTTCAAGGCTAGTTTATAGTTGTTTGGGAGTGAAACATTGCTAGACTTTAATGGTAAAGGCATTTCGTAGTGTCCATCAGGTCTTTTCTTGATACCATCTTCTAAAGTCTTCAGAAATTTTTCATCTTCAACGGAATAAGGTTTCCTCAAAATATCTGTGAAGTCTGTCTCCATGATTCTTAGAAGTCTTTCACCATCAAAAATTTCTTTAACTTTGGTATTGAATACAAAATTGCTGTAAGTTTCTGAAGCAACTATTTTGTTACAAATTCCGTTGATGTCTTTATTATTTTCTGTCTCAGATTTTGACTTACAGACTCGACCAATAACTCCCCAACCTAGGATCGACTTCTGTCCGTAAGGTTCGTCTTCCTTTCCAGTTATTATTGCTCTGGGTCTAACAATCCTGGTGCAGTCATTGCCTATCAATATCGAAATTTCGACATTTGAGTTGTAAGGCATCAGTTGATCAGCTACTTCTTTCAAGTGGCTCCATTGTTTGAAGACCTCTTGTTTAGGTATCTGGGATCGACTGGCTGGTATTGAATCGCGAGTAAACAATCCTGGTAGCTGAATGATATGTTCGCGTTTGAAATCTAAGACTTCGAGATCATAAATCTTCCTGCTGTGTATGACTTTATTGCTTCCATGCATTGTACTTAGACGAAGATTGGTTTCAGGGCCTGTTATGTTAAGTTTGTCACATACATTATCTCCAACGAAGCCGACATTTGATTGGTCATCTACTACCAAGTATTCCAGGAATTCTTTTGATGGGTTTGCTCTATGACGAATCCAAACAGGAACTATCATGCTGTGCTCTCTTCCATCTTGGTCGGGTAATGAACAAACGGTCATACAGTGTGATGTTGCTTTATCTCCAAGATAATCTGATTTCGATATATGGAAACAAGTAAGATGATCTCCTTTACAAATTTTACAAGTTTTCTTCTTGTTGCAATCTGCGACATAGTGTGACCTTGAACTTGCACATCCCATACATAATCGTTTACGGAAGAAGAAAGCCTTTTTCTCAGATCTAGATTTTTTCATGAACTGTTTACAATCATCTATATGGTGTTTCTCATTGCAAAATAAACAACTATCACTGTCTGTGTTGACATAAGTAGGTTTCTTATCTTCGTGTACACCTGACGTAAGAAAAGACCTTCCATTTGGTCTATTATTGTTGTAGGACCTATGTGTATTAGAAGTTGACTTTGCGTACCCTGTTCGTTTGAAATCATTATTGTTCAACTCAGGCAAATTGGCTTTCTCCGCTGCCTTCTTGACAAATTCTGCAAACTTGGTAAGCAGGGGAAAACTGTTTTTTCCATTAGCGTTCTTCCAGGATAAGATTGTATCTCTCCATCTGCTGTCTAAGTAATAAGGCAATTTACCCACCATCTTGGCGTTTTCCTTGGCATAATCCAATACACCAAGTTCTTTGATATCGGTTTTGGCTACTACTATTTCATCTAGAAAATCTGAAAAAGCCCTCAAACCAGTGGAATCTCTTGAGTCTATGTTTCTCTTGAGTCTATGTTTCTCCAATTGTCTATTTTATTAATAAAGGCTGTAGCAATAACACTGCTATTACCATATCTGTCTTCTATAGCTTTACGATAGGCGTCTTCTGTTCCTAACAGTAAATAATGTTCTACCAATGCCTTTGGTCCCTTCGGATCATCTCCAATATATTTTCTCAGATAGCTTAATTTAGAATCTACATTGGACACATTGGAGTCGATCAGAGCTGTGAATGCGTGTTTCCATGAAGGGTACTTCAGAGGGTCCCCATCGAATACTGGAACATCTAATTTGGGTAATTGAGTGCAGGATACTAGCTGTCTGTTAAGTTCATTCTGTTCTTTGTTAGTTTCTGCCAGCTTCTCTACACATCGTTCTAATGAGGATGCTATCTTCATCCATCCATTACTTTCTGTCTCTTCATATCTATAAGCTCTACTGCTTTCTTCCTGTGATTCAAAAAATCTGGACAACTTCTCTTCTTTCCCTTCTGTAGGAATAGGACTTGCTTGTATTGTGATTCTTCATCTTCATTTTCTTCTGACAACTTTTGACTGTTTATTTCTTCTTTTATTTTAGTCAATTCTGCCTTTAATTTAGTTTCCTTTTGATGAACTTCATCCTCTATTTCCTTTTGTTGACATTCTATTTGCCTTCTTTTCTCTTCTGTTATTTGAAGTTTGGTTTTTTTTCCTCTTCAATTTCCTCTAATTGCAATTGTAATTTTGTTTCTTTTTTCTGTAATTCTGACGCTATTTTAACTGCAAGATTATCTTTTCTAAATTCAGACCTTCTAGATCCTTTTGACCTAATTGAAGCAGTCTCTAATTGGTATTCTTCTAAAAACCTAATCTCCAGTCTGACATCCTGTTCAAAACTACCCCAGTCTATTTGAAACTGTTCTACCTGGGCTTTAGTCTGCAAATAATCTTCTCGTTCTTCCATACCCTCAAAAAGATTTTTAAATTCTTCAAAAATACCTCTGTATTCTTCTAAAATAATCTGTGCCTGTCCAAATTCTTTCTTCCAAACTCGAAGATCTGCACAAACACCTTTCAGTAGGATAATCTGTTTCTTTTTCTCTTGAAACTCTGTCCTCTTAGACTTCAATAATTTATTCTTTAACTCTATCTGGTATTCTAGGCCTTTCTGTGTAAGCTTAACCTGGCGTCTGTGGCTGTCTGTGTCAATGACACTGCCACCACCTGCCACACTTTGACCTGCTGCACCATTTTCTGTGTTTGGGTTTTCTGTTACTCTGCCGACATCTGACATATCTGTATTTTTTATTTGTCTACCCGGATACACTAGTCGATTGTTATTGTGGCTGCCCTAGAGTCACTCGTCTCTACTGGGAGTTTCAAAACACAATTGAATCAATCAATAGTCGTACCAGTTATCAATAGTTTATTCACCTTGGTAATTTGAGTAGGAGTAGGAGATAACAATCGTTGACAACTTTGTGGGATAAACAAACAAAAAATATACATGAAGATTCCAGGCTAGATCACCCTGAGCACATGGCTGCCTCAACAGACTCTAGAGTGATCTTCTCTTAGTTCTCAATTTTACTGAACTATGGGAGGTAACTCCATTTAAGAACCCATTCCCAGGGATCAGCCCAATTCGCAAACAGGAATTATGGGATAGGGTCTAGGTCGCCTTGTTGTAAACAAAGACACACGTGACATGGCCGATCAATTGACAGACGTCGAATTTGACGAAATAAATCTTTGGAATATCAAATCTTTAAAAGACTTTTGTCGGAAAAAAGGATTGAGAGTAAATGGGAGCAAACAGGAATTGGTAGCTCGTGTTTTTGCTGGATTGGAGTTTGATTTACCCGACAAAACCACGAAAGATGAAGAACTTCGCCTCAAAGCCCGATCCTACCAATCCTTGTTGTTTGCAGGTGGAATCAAACTCCCTGATCCGTTTTCTGAACTTACGGTCGGTTGGATAAATGAAAATAATGGTAGAAAGTCTTGGCCACCGACGATGTATTGTGATATATGTGAGTATTTCCATAACCTAAGCGGAGATATTAACAAATCAATTACTAAAAAGGCACTCAATGATTATAAAGAAGGCAAGGCCTACAGTTACTTTGACTCTCAATGGCTCAAGGAAGTCTTTTATCACCCATTATCCGATGAATCAAAGTATTGTTTTTTAAAAGCTATGTGCAGTCCAAGTCAGAGAATACATCACACACCTCATAATGTATGGCTGACTTTGGTAAAGAAAACTGGAGAAATTGTGTCTGCATACTGTACCTGTTTTGCTGGGTTAGAAAAAAGTTGAAATGAATTAATATTTAAGGTTGATTTATGTTCCTTTTTACTAATTATGATTTTATTTGTTTGTTTTTTTTTACTTACACGAAAAAACATGATTTATTCTGAGTCGTCTTGTGCATCATCATGTTATTATTCATAATTTCTGTTAGTGTTACTGTTATTTATTATTAAAGAAAGGATACATTATGTAAGATTTTGATAAAAAGCTGGCCATTCTTGCTGTAGACCTAATAGTTCATGAAAAATGAATATATTGGAAATTTCATTAATTACATTTTTCTGAACAAAGTTATTTATATTTATAAAAATGTATTTATAATAATGATTGTGTGTTAACACTGTTATCGCTTCCCCAATTTTAAAGTAAATCATTCAATGACAGAACCGTACTAATCTAGTTAAAATATTAAGTACCGGTATCCAATGATATCGAGAGTTGATAATGGTCTTGTCAATATGTCTAATTACTGATATTATATTATAACATTTAAAAGGCCTAAAGAAAGACCAGCAATAGGCAAATTTAGCTCTTGAATAATGTATCTTTAACAATTCAAATTTTATATGATAAGTATTCCAAATATTTTAGATAAATAGAGAGAGAGAGTTGTTGTTGTTTAACCTCCACTCGACACAAACTAGGTCATTTTGTGACTATCATATTGTATAATTTCAATTGAATAATTCACGTAATTTAAGGGTCTTTAGCAGTGGTAGGAAACCAGAGGACTTGAGACCCCCCCCCCCCCATACGAGTATGAAAGAATCTATTTGTTTAATATCTGTGATTCTTATAATTAATAACAATAATGATAATAATTTGAAAATAATACATGTATCATAATGTTAATTATTTCTTATCATTTCAGATTAGGGGCAACCTGTAACCATGTTGCGGCAGTTTTATTTAAGATGGATTACTATTGGAGGCAAGGATAAACAAATAAAGCGTGCACAGACACTATTTGTTCTTGGAATAAATATGGATCACATAAAACTGTGTTACAACCAGTACTAGCCAAAAATCTTCAATGGCGTAAACCTAAATTTGGTAAACAAAAAACTGAGCATTTAAACTTATTGAAATCAATAGAAACTTCAGATCCATTTTCTTTTGAAGAGATCAAAGAGGCTCTTTTGCCAGTTTGTCCTAAAGCTGTGGTTTTTCAAGGTCAAAAGGATATCTCACCAGATGACATTTTCCATGTGGATGTTAGTACATCAGCCCCGCCTCCACTATGCGATATGTTATATATTTGTAAATCACAGACAGAAATAAAGTCTGTTTTAGAAAGTTTTAGTGATGAAAATGTTAAATTGATTGCAGAAAGTACAGTTGGTCAGTCAGATAATAACTTATGGGCTTCTCATCGAAAATGTAGGATTACCTCATCTTTTGTTCATGATGTGTTTACTAGGATCAATTCCTTGAAATCTGGGAAAAAGGGGGACAACATTACATCAGTATTGGTGAAAATTCTGCATTCAGAATCTTTTGATTACAAGAAAGTACCCCAATTGAAATATGGTATAGAAATGGAGTCAGAGGCTAAAATGTCTTATACTAAGTTTATGCTTTCTTCCGGACACAGCAATTTTTGTGTTTTAAATGTGGGACTTAAAGTTCTTCAAGACAAACCACAATATGGTGCTTCTCCAGATGGCATAGTGTCTTGCTCATGTTGCCAAGATGGTTTGGTTGAAATTAAATGTCCAATGTCGATAGCACATACTTGTCCATCGGAATCAAATCTGCCATACTTGGTAAACATAGGAGAATTATGCTCACTGAAGAAAACCCATAAATACTACTCTCAAATCCAGTGGCAGATGGGAATCAGTCATTTGCCATGGTGTGATTTCTTTGTGTACACTAGGCATGGTCATTTTCTGGAAAGAATCCCATTTGATGAAAAGCATTTTAAGAATATAATTTGTAATTGTGATCAATTTTACTCAGAATTTGTTATACCAACTATTTTGAATAAATCGGGGGATTATAATATTGATGTTCAGGTCGATAATTACATGAAAATTACTAAACCCATTACTAATCAAGTAAACCCACCATGTAAGCGAAGAAAGACCAAACACTCCCCATTGCCTATATATTTGTGTGAAATATGCTTAAATGTATGTGTTTCAGAAGATAGTATTGATAATTCAGATTGTAATAGTGTTTTATGTGACAAATGTTTACTGTGGTACCATTTCAAATGTGTTGATTACATTGATGGCAGTGAGGATGAGTGGTTTTGCCCAAACTGTAAATAAATGTTAAATTGGCATTAATTTTCAAGATTATCAGATCTAACTCCCTTGACAATCTATATGTTTGGGTATTACATAAAAAATAAGATAGCAAGTAATATGTTTTCATATTTTAATCTTGATATTTGTACATGTAATAATCATATATAAAACAATTTATTAATAGTACGTGTAATAATCATAAATAAATAATATATCAACATATCAATTGTACTGTACATGTAATAATCATAAATAAAACAACATCAATAGTACATGTATATTCATAAATAAAAAAATATATCATTATCAATAAATGAGTTACCTTTTATCTCAAATGAAATAAAAATTAAATGGGGTTTAGTGTCCTAGTTTTCAGCACCATACCTGGGCTAATGAAATTTGTTCAGAATTCAGACAACTCTTTATTTTCATTTTTAATGGTTGAGGGATCTTTAACGTACTGCAATTGGTATATACGGGACCTTGTGTATTCATACCATCTGAACAACTAGCCAGGTGGTTGGGTGGTTTAATGCATGCACTTTAGATCATAAGGTCTGTCACAGAGTCAAGTGCCGTGGGTCCAAAACAAAGCTTGTGCATCACTTGACAAGAGGTGGATACAAATTTACTATTATTGCACAAACTGACAAAATATCATCAATTAAAGGAGCCATAGAAATCGGAAGTGTCTGCGAAAGGATTCTAAACCATTTCATCCTATTTATCGCTCTTTCTACGTGAATGCGAAGATTTGCTACTTTTTTAGTCTTTAAAACATTATCTTTGGTCATTTGCTCCATGCCTCTGGCTCCGGGTGGTATGTATAATGAAGCTCCTCTGATCATTAGTTCTTCAGCTATTGGAAATCCTCTGTCAGCTAATACGGTATCTCC